CCACCCCTCCCCGCCACACCAGCCCAGAAGCCTGCCCCTGTCGTGTGACCTGAAGGGGGTCAAGGGACAACACAGACCTTCGCAGCCAAGAGTGGTGACCTCAGCAAAAGGGTTGTCACAGCGGTTGCACTGGCGGCCAATGACACCGGGCTTGCAGGTGCACTGTCCGGTGTCCATGTCACAAGTGCGACTGTGGGAGCCATGAGGGAAGCAGTTGCAGGGCAGGCAGGAGTCCTGGGCCGGGGGCTTGTAGTAATTCTCCTGCAAAAGCAGAAGCAATGCCCATGACTTAGAGGCTGGTGGGAGGTCCCACCTTGCAGGGTGTTTCCTGAGCCATGCCAAGACTCCCAAGCATGCGCACGTTGGACAACAGCCCTACCTGTGCTCTCATTGCCACCCTCTGCCCACCTTCCTTACCTGAGACTAGGTCTCCACAATATCAGACCCATAAGGGGCTGTTCTCCTGGTAAGCACCCTCCCCTGTTTCTTAGCAAATTGTTATGGTGGGCACTTCCATATCTGTCCCAGAAAGAATCAGAGATTCAAATGAGGATGGCTCTTGAGCCTTTTTTTTTTAAGTTGTGAAAAATTAGAAACCACTTGAATGTCCCCCAGTGGGAAGGTCAAGGTGATGGTCAAGAGTTTGTGCTTCAGGGCCAGGTACGGTGGCTCACGCCCATAATCTCAGCATTTTGGGAGGCCACAGCAGGAGGATTGCTTGAGCCCAGAAGTTCGAGACCAGTCTAAGCAACATAGTAAGAACTCATCTCCACAAAAAATTAGTCAGCCATGGTGGCATGCCCCTCTAGTCTCGGCTACTCAGGAGGCAGAGGTTGAAGAATCACCTGAGCCCAGAAAGTCAAGGTTGTGGTGGGCCATGATTGTGCCACTGCACTCCAGCCTAGGTGACTAAGTAAGATCCCAACTCAAAAGAAAAAAAGAAAAAGAAGAAGAGCTTGTGCTTCAGCTTCAGAAAGTCCTGGCTTTATGCCCACTCTTGCTGCTGACTGGCCATATCACCCTTGACTGGTCACTTGGCCTCCCCTCTGGGAAATGGGCAGGCCACGAGCTGGGCAGACTTATGAGCAACATTCAGGCTTTTGTGACAAGCAGGGATCCCTACTGTGTATAAAATTGTGGCAAGCGGAAACCCTGGAAAGAGCTGCTAAAACGTTAGCAGTCGAGTTGAGATGGGGTGACTAGGACTTTTTCAATTCTTTCTTGAATTTTCTATAACTTGGAGAAAAAAAAAAACAGGCAAATTTCCTCCAAATATACTCCCCACATCCCTTCCTCCCTTGCCACGCAATGATGCTACAGCCACCATCAGGTTACACGTGTAGGCCCAACACTGGCCCTAGGATGCCGTTTTAATTTTCATTTGCACATTTCAGGGCACAGGTCCTATGCTGTTGTCAGAACCACTGTGGAGCACTAGGACCACTACTGACATCATGGGGAAGCATCTGAGGACATCATGGTGACAACTTCCCTCTTGGGGTGGGTAGGCTGTGTCTGCACGACAGCTCACACCCCTCGCCAAGACTGCTGTCACATCAGACCTTCTGTTTGGGTTTCAAGTTATGGCAACTCCATGGCAGTTATGGACACGATGATTCTGAAGGTGATGATGGGCTCCAAGAGGGCAAAGGGATAGGGTTTCCTAGAACCTGGACTGAGACCACTCACGCATAGCCAGAGAATACGAGATGTAAGCTCTGTGCTGTTTATGCGTTAGGATTGAGCACTGAAGATAAGCCAGTCCTCACGGAAACTGCTGGACTTTCTGTATCAGAGGGTGATAGCCTAAGGATTCTCAGTCACTGTGTGGCTGACCCAGCTTACCCATGAAAAGCAGCCCCGGTGTGTTCACAGAGCAGCAAGGAAATCTAAAAGCACATTTGTACACAAAAGCATACTCACGTGAGTATGTACAGCTAAGTGTGTGTGTGCAAGCGTGTGTGGGTAGGGGTATGCGTAGCTGTGCGGGTATATGTCTGTGCTCAGTTTGGGAACACATTTCTGACTGTCCCCTGCGGGGCCTCACCTTGCACTGGCACTGGCCATTGGTCTTATTACAATCAGGATCGAAGCCTTTGCCAACAGCACAGTGGCAGGGTCCGCACACAGGGTTTCCCCACCAGCCTTTGGGGCACGGAAGGTCAATTCTGTTGGGAAAATAAGGCGGCAGATGGAGGATTACGTAACTGTGCTTTCTGGAATGAGAAGAAGTCTGCTGGCAGCATGGAGACGGCTGGCTGCCCAGGAGGCTTGGCTGGGCCAGGCTCTGGGCACCTCCCTTCCACGTCACGTGGCCTCAGTTTTCCCCCTACTGGCTCCCAACCTCACCGCACTCCACCCCCCCAACTCATGGATCAGCATGACATAGCTGCTCTTAGTGTGGTGGGGGTGGCACGTGGCTCCTGGCTCACAGGGGCTCAATGCCAACTAACCCCGCTGCCAGGCTGGCCTTTCATGGCCCAGCCTCACATATGCAGACAGAGCTCGTCTGCCCTGGGCAACTTCTCCCGGGGACCTGGGTGAATGCCAGCATGAGATGCCTGGTGGGAAGCTCCTGAACATGGGATGCTGTAGCATGTTTAACTCCCCAGGACCTCTGGGTCAGTGCTGGCTACTGTCCCCACAGATGTGCTGGGCAGCCTTTCTACAGTGTGACATGCATCTCACGTTAGCAACATGCAACTATACACCTGACAGCAGCCTCGATCAAGCTGAACCCTGAGCCTCCCCTGGCAGAGCCACAGCAGACACTGAAGACCAGCAGCAATGAGGTCAGCAGCGATGAAGTCAGGCCCCTCCCTCCAAGCCACTGGCTGTTGCTGTGCACAACCCACCCAACCTGTAGACTGCACCTGAAGTGTTACCTACAGGCCCACCTTCCTGTGGTATTCTGCCACAAAACGTCCTGTAGGCTCCTGCATTTCCCATCCTGGCTCATGGATTTCCCTCCACCCCGCTGCCAACCTCCTGTACTTACCTGGCATGCAATTATTAACTACCAAATATGTACGAATCAGGGACATAAAAACAGCTAGGCCAGAGTTCCTAAGCCCCAGAAGTTCCAATCTGGTATTTATGGGTGTTTGCAGCATGGGGACCCCAGGGCCATCTTTCTCCCCTCAGCCCCGGGGTGTCTGTAGAACCAGGCCTCAAGGACACTGAATGAGCCTCTCAGTGTCTCTTCTCCTGTCTACAACAAACTGCACTCCATGCAGCAGCCGGGGGCTCTCTAAGACGCAGACCAGTCCTGTCACTTTTCTGTTGGGCATCTCTGGCCTCCACAAAGCTGAGCTCTAGTTCCTGGCTTGCAGACCTGTCCTCAGCCCTAGGCCTCTCTGCCTCCCTGGACTGACCCTCTGAGTTCTTTAGACCAGTTTCATTCATTTTTGCTCCTCTCCAGCTCCTCAGAAGCTCTGCTTCTGCTCCCTGGAATGCCCTCCCCCTTGAGCCCCCTGGCCCCAGCCACCCTTTGCATTCCCCCAAGGCACCTCTTCTGGGCTCTCCCATGGATCACATCTTGCCAACATCTGGGCTGCTTCCCATTTCCAGGATCACAGCACACACTCTAGGCTCAGGTAGACAGAGGTCAGAGCAAGGAGTCCCTCCTACGAGATGGGGCCCCTGCACCAGGATGGCTGTCAGCAACTGAGGACAAGGGGCCACAAATGCATCACCTCCAAAGGGGTTCGAGTTTTGGTCTGTGAAGAACCAAGCGGCTCCACCTTGGAAAAAGTGACCCACCTGTGATGATTATACACCTGAGCCTAGCGATCTTTGTACTCAGCGATCCCTGTATTCAGCGAACCCTGTCCTCTGCAAATAGCTCTCCAGAAGGCCAGAGATCACACTGCTCCTGACCCTAACTCCACCAGGATTTTCATACACGTCAGAGATGATTTCAACCCCACAGACTCAAGGGAGAAAATATCCTCTATGAATTATACCAGTCTTCTTATATCTCACAGTGCCTGTTTGCTGTGGGCATGGCGGGGACTCCAGACGAATGTGAGTCCTACTGTGTTTCTGGGGTGGAAACACAACTCAAGGGGGTATGTTTGAGACATCCAATTTGATTCTTGTTTATTCCATGCCAAATTTGAAAAAAAAATGTTTCTATTATCCAGAATTATGTGTATCTTTGGGTCAAAATAACAAAGAGAAGAAAATAACTCAAGAGGAAAAGTAGCTAAATGGACTTCGAAAGAGCGAGGAGGTCAAAGGGCGTCTCTTACTTGTTCTCGCAGTACTGTCCATAGTGGCTGGCCCCGCACATGCATGCGTAACCCCGTAGGGAGGTGGGGGAGCGCACGCAGGTCGCCACGTGCTCACAGGGGTTCAGGAGACAGGCATCCACACACTTTCTTCCAAAGTACCCTGTGGGGACAGGGTCAGCATTACCTCCACCCAGAATCAGTCCACCCCTCTGCGTGGACCTCAAGCAACTGTCACAAGACCTAACTTTCCCCTTCTAAGCAGAGAGAAGAGGCGGGGTGCCTTGAAGTCACAGGAAACACAAACTTTATGTGGGTTACACTTGGCAATACAGAGAGGAGGGCCTTCTTAGGATGCCCTGGGGAGGGTGGAAACCATGGGGCAGGGTTCCTGGCCCTCTGCCCCAGGATACACAGGGCACAGGCACCAGCAGAGGATGACTTAAGCACCTCAAAAATTCCAGGGTGATCTCTAAATATAGGATTTTTAAAATGTGTCTTTTCACAAATTCTTTCACTAATCTCATCGTGTGCCATGAAGATAAAGTCTGGAATGTTCCCTATGCCCCAAATAAAAGGCACAGGAATCCATTTTAAGAAGCAAGAGCCTACTTATAAAATAAAGCTCAGCACTCCAAAAGCCCTCAGAGAGCCGGTCAGGGAAGCTCATGACCACACTTAGCACCCCTCCCTGTAATTTAGCCACCAGAGGCATTGCCCACCAGTGATGGAAGGAGGAAGGAGGGTCCTACCTTTGTGACAGATGCAAGAATAGCTGTCCCAGGTGTCATGGCAGTGGCTGTGCTGAGGGCAGGGGTTCGAGGCACAGGGGTCTTCTACATCACAGCCATCCTTCACCCTGACCTTGAGGGCATCATTCATGTTCAGGGTGGCGATGTTGGTAGACGTTTCCCCCATCCTCACTCCCTGTGTTAAACAAAAGGCAGCCGGACTCAGTCTCAGGGCACTGAGGGTAGAGGAGCCTGGAAAGGTGAATGGGGGTTAGAAGAACCCCAAGACTTCTTCAGTCCCTTGTTTTACATGACACTTCATCTATCTACAGAGCTAGGACGGGTGAGTTGCTTCTCTCACCCCCACAGCCTATTGGCTGGAGAGCAGCACAGAGGTGGGCAAGGCCAGCCCGACTGTCTGGGGTGTGGGGTGGGCCATGAGAAGCGTATTCCCCAGAGGGCTATGAGTGAACTCTGTGAACAGCTCTCTTGGCTGCTGCTAGAATACCTGGTCCGGGGACAAAAACAGGACCCATTTGGGTGGTGTTTGGGGTTGGCCCAAGTGGGGGTGCAGCGAGGGGCTGAATTCCTGAACCTACATCATGAAGGCAAGGGGCAGGTGCCCCACTGTGGCATGGCAGCAGAGGGTGTGGGGGACCTAGGGACTCCCGACACTGAGGGGAACCATGGGAGAGGATAGGTCTTAGGAGGAAACAGGAGTTATTAAGGTGGGGATGCCTATCAGACAAATTATCCATTTATTGAAAACTAACAAGTTGACTGATGGCACCAACTATGGTGCTAGCAGCCACCCAGCCACCCGCAGGGGCAGGCTCCCCACTCTGCCATACCTGCATGCAGCCCCGGAACCCGTGGCGCACAGAGACTTTGTCTTCAGACATGCCCCCGACAACAATGCTTCTCATCTTCAGCCCGGGGAGCTGGTTCCCGATCTGCACTGTGTTCTGTGCAGAAAAAGAGAGAGGGGCTCTAGGGGTTACAGTCACCATTCTAGAAACATCTTCCAGCAGGGAAGAACATGCTAGACAGCTAGAACAGTCGCTTTAACAAATCTCCCAGAGCCTGAGGACATCTGGGTAGCCAAAAAGAGAGCAGGGCCAGGCATGGCTTCCATGTGACAGGCAAGGCAAAGGGACCCGGCCAGAGACTGGCATGCACGTCCCAGCCCAGCTGAGGTAGTCAGCAGGAGGATCACGGGCAAGTCTCCCACATCAATCATAGGCACACCACTAAACCAGTTTGGTGACAAAGAGCTTGGTGAACCAGGAAGATTACAGCAAATGGAAATACATCCATTTGTTAACACTGTGGGAACCTGAGAGAGTCCCAGACAATATCCAGTCCCAGAAAGGCAGGTACCTGGAACACAGCATCTATTTATTCTCAGAGCTATGGTGTAAGATGATCCTCGGCACTAAGAGCTCTTGGGAATCACAAGTAGCCCCTTAAGTGTGTGGGCATCTCATAAAAAATGTCTTGTGTTACCTGACTGCAAACTGTGGAAATCCAGTTTGGTCCAGCAAGTGTTCTGATGCATTCTGTCTGGGACAGTGCCACTTGCCTGCCTGGGACAGGTGTGCCTCCCTGGTGTCCCACAGCACTCCGGGAACTGGGTCTCACTACTCCCCAGGTTTCACTCTCCTCCACACTCTGAGGGTATAGGTCCTTACATTTTTGTTTCTGTGCCCCAAAAGCACAGTGCCAAGCATACAGTTTTTGCTCAAGGCAACTTTGCTAAAAGAAACCACTGCTGAAGGCGCCGATGGTACCATGATGGGAAACACAGCCAGACAAAGCCCAGTTCCTGCCTGTAGGGGCAGGCCATCTGAATGGGGGATGACACACAGACACCAGTGACCTCAGCATAAGGTGGGATGTAAGTCCCAAATTCTGGGACTCAGAAAATACTTCCTCAAATCCACAGTCTCTGGCAGGTCCTGGCATATCAGGGGTCACTCTGCATTGTGACAGGCCTGAGGAAGGGTGCAAGAGCCTACTCACCTGGTCCATCCCATAGTCCAAGGTCATGACCGCCAGGTACTTGATGTCCTTGCCCTCCTTGGCACTCTTCAGTTCTATCAGCAGGTGGTGCCACTGCCCGTCAGTCACCCGCAACCTGGACAGCCTCATGGATGCCACTTCAGAGGGGCCATGGGACACCTCAAACTGGACGTAGTTGTTCAGGATCTGTAGCAGGGAGAGGCACACCAACTGATTGGTACAATGACGATGAAAGGGAAAACATGCTGCAGTCACTTAAGTAAGGAAGCCATGCAGATGGACTTACAATGCGGCATCGGATCAAAGGTGGGTTGAAAAATTAGGCAAAGTTGGAATTTGCTGTTTTGCCTTTAACACCCAACAGAGTTGTATGCTTTATTGTATGATAAAAAGTATCAAATGTTTGACAAAGATCAAGGGTAAGGACTGAAAACAAGCCCCATTAGACTTTTAAGTATTGGGATCCACCACTTAGGAGACTATTGGGCTCTTATTTTTGTATGTAAACGTTACACTTTATGAGATAAGATCCAGCCCTCCATGTTTAAACATGTATGAAAAACCAAAAATCAGCACAGCAATCTCAAGATCTTAGTCCCCCTAAAGAAGGACTAGGTAATTTGTACCAACGCTCCTCTTGGAAATACCTATAAAAATTAGACAAAATATTGATGAACACCTTTTTGAAGGTACTGGAGTGATTCAAGGCCAAAGAGAGTTTCAGGGGCCTGACCAGGGAGAAAACGGAAATCTGTACAAGTGAGCACAGTGTTTATTTTCCCCCATGGCTGTTATGGTCCTGGAAGACATGATGAGGCTGAAAAACTGAGCAAAGTCTTCTAGGCTCATGGGGCTGGGGGATCAAAAATGAGTTCAGGGCCTGCCAAGGGTAGGGTCTCTGAAGGGCTATACACTAAAAGTAAACAAGAAACAGGCCAGTTCTGGGAGGACTGGAAACCCACCTCAACCTGTAGCTGCATTAAAGTGTCTGGGATGGCAAGTGTTCCTGGCTGGTTGCTACAAGTAAGGGTGGAAGATAAGGACAGTGCATACTGGTTTAAAATTCTCTCTAGTTTTTCAATACAATGTCTAGAACTCAGTAAAAAATAACTGAGTATATGAGGAGGCAGCAGTATGCTAGAAAAACAAGAGAAGCAAGGAAGAATGAAAAGAGACCTAAGGGGAATCCAAACAATAGAATCATCAGATTTAGACTTGAATAGAACAATGGGAATCACAAAACTTTCAAGGAAACAGATACAGGTGTCCTTAGACTCTAATTTCTGGGTGTAAGTTTTACATGTCATAAGATAAGGGTAAAGCTATCATGTTAAAATGCATGCAAAAAATATCAGAAAACAAGATTGTAACCAGCCTAAGATACTCATATTTAAAAGTAACCTCAATTAAAAGATTGTATTTTTTAAAAAACCGATTAACACACCGCTTAAAAGAGACTCACCTGAAATGCAAGGATACAGAAAATGATGAAAGTAAAAGGATAGAAAAAGATATATCATGTAAACACCAACCAAAAGAAAAACGGTGTTGCTATCTTAATATGAGACAAAGTAGATTCTAAGGCAAAAATCATTACTAGAGATAACAAGGATTTTCATAATGATAACACAGTCAATTTGCTAGGAGGATGCAACAATTTTAAACCTGAATGCACCTACTAACAGCCTCAAAATCTATAAAATAAAAACCAACAAAGTATAAGAGAAGAAATACATAAATCTACAATCACAATCGGAGTTTTGTAACTCACTTCTCTCAGTCACTGAGAAGATAAAAAGACAAAAAATCAATAATGATATCGAATATTTGAACACTCCAGTTAACAGATTTTACTCACTTGACATATATATAGAGAGAGAACACTATGCATAACACTATACCTAGAATACTACGTGTAACAACTGTAGAGCATGCATTCTTTTCAGGTACATATGGGATATTCACAAAAATCTGAGCTGTAAAGCAAGTCTCAAGGTCTAAGATCTGAAACTACACAGTGTATGTTCTCTCACCTGCAATTATGCTGGAAACAATACCAAAACGAGTTACTAGAAAATGTCACATGCCTGCTAGTTCAGAAATATACTTCTGAATTCCCCACAGGTGTAAGATAAACTCATGATGGAAAACAGAAAACATTTTTTTAACTGATTGTAAAGGTAATACAACTAACGATGTATTTTGATTTTTGATGCCCATTGGTAGTCAATTTAAAAAGATAATTTTTCCACCTTTTTAACATTGTTTGCTTTTGTTCTACAGAAGTTTAAGTAAACTCTTTAATTTCCCTTGCCGTTCTCTTTCTATCAAAACTCCAAAGCAAGCAGATCGACAAAGTGACATTGTGTCTACAAACAAAAATGGTATCTATAGAATGAACCCCAGGACTTATGACAGTAACTGCCCCCCACCTTAGGTGTGTCAGGATTTCAGACAGGCGGTCAACAATAGCAAGGATATCCTACTTGACAATGCAGTGGATTAGGGTGCCTGAGAGCAATTAGCCAAATTGTTTGGGCTGTTGGATGAGAATGCAGCCTTGTTTGGCCCACCTTGGGGGACTTTCAGGAACACCCAACCTTGTACTATAGAATTCACAGGCTCTGCAATTTAATATGTCAAGTAGGAATTACCCAGAGCAAGCCTTCCTATAATCCTGGTTGACCAGCCTCTGGGAACTGCCCTGGGGGGCCTTCTAGGTGTCCACTGGGGTTTGTAGGATCCCTTCAGGGCCACCACTCCTGCCACTCAGACTTCCACAGGGAGGGCTGGCTGTAGACACTGGCCAAAAAAAAAAAGCCTTAATTTTTAGATGGGTTACCCATGATGTAATTACTCAAGCAATATGGGAGTTTGTGGCTTTCAGTGCTGTTCCTACTGAAAGCGTACTTTTTTCCTATAGAGACCCCACTGCCAAATGACAACTCATGAGCTCAAATTCATCACCTGAATTGAAAACAGCCAATTTGATCTGTTCCAACAGTGAAACGACCATAGAGAAAAATACCATCCCCGGGCAGAAATGTGCTTGCCAAGATTTGGCCCTGTGTGAGCTTCCAGGACCACCTGGTAAACTTATGAAACTGCAAGTTAATAAGGGAAACACAATGACAGCTGTAATTAGCCCTGATGCACACGCTGCAGCTTCCATATGATCCAAATGAGTCCATGCTGGAAAATGCTCCTAAGCTGTGATGTGAGGAAGAACAGGAGGCTTCCTGTCTGGGCTGGACCCCCTCTTGCCCCCATCCCACCGACTCAGGCACTGTGCTAACTCACGTATTGAGGGTGTGCACCCTGCCAGACCATGAGGGTGCCTCTGGGTCCTGTCCCCGCTGACCTCTGATAGGGAGTTTACAGTGGGGTACAGTATATGCTGGGCAGTCCCTCTGTCCACTCCCTCTACCTCTTAGGCCAATATCTGCCACACATTAAGTGCTTCCAGATGGACTGTCTGTCCACAGAGGTGATGGAAGAAGTGCCTGTGGCCGTCCCAGGAACCAGGGAAATGAATAAACCAAGGAGCCTGGAGTGCAGTGTTTCTAGGCCTCAGTTTCCCCTGTGTGGAAGGAGACCTTTCAGAAGACATTCCAAGAGATCCATCTCACTTCTGACCACCTCTGACCGTTCACTCTGAGTTGGGCAGAACAGAAAGTCCCAGGACCCAAGGGAGTGAAGGAAATGAGACACAGTTCCCTGGGACATGCAGCTGACAGCAGATGGACCTAGAGCAAGCTTTAGGAAGAACTTCCTGACAGCAGGAGCCATTACACCTGAGGAGGGTTATCCTGGGACGATGGGGCCATATGTTCCAATGTAGCCCAGACCCAAGCCAAGAGAGGAGGCTTATCTAAGCGCAGCAAGCAGCTCTGTGTAATGGCGGTGGGGTGGTGGGGGGTGCTCAGGCTGACTCTGGTTGGAGATAATGTACCTGATTGGAGATAATGAAGAGAGTGAGTGCCACTCTGAGACCAGGTGCACCTGGGTCTTATCACACACATGCGCACATACATACATACACACACGCATACAGACATACATGAAGGCATGTACACACAGACACATGCATACAGGCATGCACATATGCACATACAGACACACACAGACAATGACAAGCACACAGACACACATACAGATATTCATGAATGTATGTACACAGAGACACAGGCAAATATACACGCACACACAGAGACATGCAAACACACAGACACACTGATGTGCACACATGCAAACATACACAGACATGCCCACACACTTGCAGACCCATGAAGACATACATGGCATGTACACAGGTATACATACTTGGGAAAAAAGCCTAGAAGAAAGAAAAGAATAACCTAGTTACAGAATGACTTCAAATCAAGATGGCTCCCACAGCCGCTGCTGATTCCCTCAGGATACTCCCATGATGGGGAGGCGAATTTGGTCTAAGAAGAGTCCTAAAGTGAATTTTCCAGGAGGGAGAATTGGTGTGTTTTCAGATCTTAACTCTGCTCCAATGGGGTCACGGCCACAGGGTTTACTCGAGAACGCCTGTCTCTGCGTCACTGCAGATGGAAACGGCCTGGGGACAAAGATGAGCTGTGGATCTGTGCTGTGGACAAGGGGAATCCCCAAGGCTGCCAGGTAGAACAGTCTCCAGAGCATTTAAAATCTCTCTAAACTCCAGGCTAAGGGTAGGGGCAACATTCCTCCCCCTCCCCTCCCACAGAGACAGAGGTACAAGGGCAACCCAATGAAAGAAGACCTGGCCTTTTCCAAATTTAAGAAACTTGTAGCTGTTCCTCCAGTAAAGTGTTTCTAGCGCTTGGGAGAAGTGAGTGGACACTGACACAAAGAACCAGAGAATAGAGCGCATTGATAAAACCTTGTAAAAGTTTTTAGAAACTTGTATCCAATGTTTTAAATAAACAAAACAGGAAAGACCAAAAAGATAGAACACATGCGTACAGCAACATAGTGGGTCTTTGGGAATCTCTGTGCCAAGGCAAGCCCCCAGAGGCAGCAGACAGTGGTGCAGGTGACAGCCACCATCCGGGCACAGCTTTAACTGATGGAGGCCTGCCGTTTCCACCTGAATGCTCACCACCTCCCTCGTCTCTGAAATGCCCATGCAACTAGCCAGAAAAAAGGCCACATCCTCCGGTTAGAAGGAGACTGGATCTGCTAAGACATACCTTGGCTGAACTCTACAGGGCTGCTGGGCCTGCCCGACCCCACGTTTACTCGCCCCATCTCCCAGAGGAAAGAAAAGGCTGGAAAGGAACCCCCGCTGGGAATCCACAGCCACACACTATTATCCCTGCGCTTTTACCATCATGAATGGAGCAATTGTGCTGCCACTTGAGAAAGCCACTCACGTTTCCCTTCATTCCCCTTGGAAAGCGCAAGGGGTAGGCATGGGAAGAGGAGGGGCGAGTGGCAGGTGCCCTCCAAGCATGCACCAGGAAGCCAGCACCTAGGTCCCTCACTCCCGTGTCTGCCTGCCCTGCAGGTGCCCCCAGGTGGTGTGGGGTCCCACTCACCTGGAGATGGAGCCTGGAGGACAGCCCGGCAGTGGCCTCCATCAGCACGCCATCCTCCTTCCGGGTCCGGAACATGAGCCCCAGGTACCAGGGCACAGAGATGGTGATGTCCAGGTCGCTCCAGGACACGACACTCTCACCGCTAAAGCGCTGGGGGTGGGGCATGGCTGCGGACACAGGCCCTGGACCTCAGGTATGTCCCAAAATCAGGTGAGCCTCTGAGAATCTTTTTCAGTTGTAAGGGAGGGAGACGGGCCCAGGGAGGCTGGTCCTGGGCCTTTTTCATTTTAACACAAAGGCCAATTTGAGACTTCCATCTAGACCACATACAGACCTCTGAGGCCAGCAGCCATGGGCTCTGTGGAAGCTCACCCTGTGACACATGCCACCTTCCTAGGAAGTGCAATGAAGGCATGCGATCATGCAGGCTCCCAGGCATGGCCAGGCATGGGAAGGGGCTGTCAGGCTGGACAGGAGGCAGAAGGAAGAGCCTCAGGATCTCTGGGATCCATGGACAGGGGTGCTGGGATGGGCCCTGCCAGCCCAGCCTACCCATCCTGCCCTACATCTGCAGGGTTGGGGAGCCCAGGGACAGGAGCAGGGGCTCTGCTGAGGACAGTGTGAAAGAGAACAGTGTGAGTCCACAGTAACTCGGCACGCCGCCAGAGGCTGCCAGCCCCGATGTGCAGCCCCCTCATGAGAGCTCCCAGGCACCCCAACATCCAGGAGCAATGCCTCCAGGCCGCTGTGGTTGGGGGGATAGACAACACCAGGTACTCACCTTGCTCACAGTTCTTCCCGCCAAATCGGAGTGGGCACTCACACAGATACGTGTTCCACCTGTTCACGCAGGTGCCCCCATTCTGACACCATATCCCATCGCAGAAGTTCCTCTGAGCAGCACAGCCTGGCAAGGGGAGCACACAGCAGAGCCTACCTTGGAGGAGACGTCCTGGCTTTGTGCATGCATGCAGGTTTGGTGTGGGAAACAGGACAGACTTGAAAGTGGCTCAGACAGGAGTCAGGTCAGGCCTGAAAGCTGCTGGCAGCCATGAGGATACAAGAACTGAGATGGTGCTGAGCACACCGCCCACAGCTGGAAACTCCAGGGCTCCAGGTTATCGCAACAGGTGGCCCAGTTACTAGGTAACATGCACAAGATCTTAGGATTGTGTGTGCCCCTGGGTTGGCTGGCTGGCTCAGCAGCATACTGGTAACCCCAAACTGTAGAACCCACAGACCTCAAGAGCAGGCACGCCTAGGAGGTGCCTATAGCTGGGGACACCCACTTCTGGGGAAAAGACACCTCCCCAGAGACGTGCAAATGGCCCTCTCTCACTTGGTAGTCGGTGTCCAGCCATGCCCACGATGACAGCCCCAACATGCTGGTGGCTGCCCATACCTGCCCTGGTGCCATTGTTGGCGATGAATCCAGCCATGTCCACATTTTTGCCATCGACTGACAGGTTCCGCATGCAGCCCACAAACTGCCGGTTGTGCACTGGAAAGTCTTCCGGCAGGTTGGGGACACCTCCCAGGAGCAGAGGGCCCGTCAGATCCAGGGACCTAGGGAGATAAATCCATCCTCTGTGGCATCCAGGTAGCAAGAGGTGGCCACTAGGGCCAGGTTCTGTGATTTCATCCCCGTAGCCTCTGCTGCCAAAAACACGTCAGTCATCGAGCAGGCAGGAGTTAAGAGGTGGGTAAGCAGAAGGCCAGCATAAAAGGACCCTGCTTCTGGTGCCACCACTGGCTCTTCATGCCTCTCTGAGCCTCAGTTTCCTCATACTTGCATTATGTCCTGACAAACCAGATGTTTTGGGTTAACCAGTGACCACTTACTGAGTCCAGTCCACCTCTAGGGCCAGTCCACACCTAGACAGGCTGTGGAGCACAGGTAGCACAGGTCAGTGTCAAATAGTGACTACTTTCTTCTGGTCTCCAGGAAAAGGAATGAACTTGAAGGGAGGTCAAAGGAAAATTAGAACCCTGGCTGTGCCACAGGCAGCCATGTGACCTTAAGCAGGGGCTCCGACCTTTTTAGGGCACAGCTTACTTATCAGTGAAAGGGCATCATACTACCTCCACTGGGGGTGGGGGATTGGATGAAACAGGCAGGTGACTGTCCTGGGCCCTTATCGTATGCTCAGGATATATCAGGTTTATCTCATCATGATCGCCAAAACCGTTATTCAATATCGCACCAAAGCACATTTAGAAGTGAGTCCCATAAGGGCCTCTGCTCTGGGCATTAAAGCTGGAGTTACAAAAAAGGGAAACACGAGAATGGCCATAAATGTCTATGTCAGAATTTCTTTGTCCCTGAGTTAAAATGAGCCCTAAGAAACCTCTGGGACCAGTAGGGACATGGCACTTCCATCTAACAGAGTCTTGGAGTCCCAGGGTCCAGTGCTGGTGAGGACAAAGCCAGTGATCCCATGGAGACAAGGCCAGGGACAGTCTCCAAGTCTGCAAGCCAGCCGTCACAACCCTGAGGTCAGCCTGGCCACTCTTTTGACAGATATTTCCAAAGGAACTTATTCTAGAAGGTTCTAATGTGTCAGAGGGAGAGTGCCCCAACCAAGGGAGGGACTCTGACTCCAGCCTGAAATAGGGTCACCAGGGCGCTGAGCCCAAAATGCCTGTGTTGGGGTCCTACCCTTGGAGGCCACAGGGCGACCCCACATTTGGGAGTGTGGATGTCCAGGACCTCTCCTCCTAGGATACTCACTTCTTGGAGCCACTCTGAGTGCCCTGGGCAGCGCAGCTGTAGTTCCCAATATAGCTTCCAAAGCGCACAGCCATGGTTGTATCACAGTCATCCACTGTCACGACAGCCACCTTCTCCCCAGATGGCCCATGGGGCAGGCCCAGGCGGCCAATGTTGGGCTGTCAGAAGAGAAAGCACAGAAGGTATCAGCGTTTTCTCTACCAGTGCCCTTGGCAGGTATACCCGCCACCCCCAATATCACCCACACACTGCTCAGGGAGGGGCAGCATGTGGAACAAGGGCAAGGAGACCCCAGACTTGTTTCAAATTAGTTCTCCAAACCAGCAGTACTGGGTTGCATAGTATCTCTCCCAAATTCACGTCCTTGCCAGAACTTCAGAATGTGACCTTATTTGAAACAGGGCTGTTGCAGAGATAATTGGTTAAGATGAGGTTGTTCTGGAATAGGGTGGACTCTGACTCAAGTTGTCTTTTTAAGAGGATAGATGTGGAGACGCAGAGACACACATGTGACCACAGAGGCAGATACTGGAGCAAATGTCCCCAAGCCAAGGAACATCAAGGACTGACGGCCACCAAAGCTAGGAAGAGGCAGGAAGTACCCTTCCCTAGAGCTGTCAGAGGGGCATGTCTTACCCACACCTCGATTTCAGACTTCTGATTTCCAGCACTGGGAGAGAATACATGCCTGTTGCTTAAGCCAATAGTTTGTGGTACTTGGTTATGGCGGCCCTAGGAACTAACACAGCAGCCAACACCGAAGCCTCTTGAACAGCCACCTTTGCTATTCTATGGATATCCTCCCAACTCTGCAGTTCCGGGCCAGACTTGTGGTCCCCTACTCCATGCTCCTAAAGTATGGATTCCAAGACACTGCTCCCCACAACAGGCCACACTTTCCTCCACAAGACATGAAGCTCCCTGTCCAGGCCAGGAGCCTGTCCTGGGGCTGGTGACAAGAGTTCCTTCGGGAATCAGGGGCCCTGGGGAAACTTCTTCCTGGAGGAGGCTGCAGTTTGCCATCCTGGAATGGGTCTACTTCCCCCAGGAAGCCCTCACAAAGATCGGTCCCTTGCCGGACCCTCCCGGGACGAGAAGTACATCCATCCAAACAACTCAGGTATCCTTCCAGCAAGAGAAGTAGAGCTGACCTCACACCATTTGTGCCAGCCACGAAACCCGGGTTTGTGGGCCTCAAAGTCCCAGAAATGCAGCAAGCAGCCAGAGGTCTGGCTCTTGCTGGGCCAGGCAGCAGAATTTTCTTCTTCATCTGTTCTACCTGGGTAACGAAACCTGCATCCCGTAGGTGACTGAAAATGAACTAGGAGAATGCAAGGGAAGTGCCATCAGGCCTCACCATTGGCATGGGGCAGCTCTCTCCTTTCCCAGACCCTGCAGGATCCATCCTCAACCCCAATAAATGATGGGCTTGATGCCTCCTCTTCAGAGTGCTAGGGTCAGTTGGAGTTTATAACATGATACAATCTTATGCTTCTCTATAACAGCTTGGAAATAGGTTGTTGTAAAAATAAAGAATTTAGTTAAGTCATCCTCAATGCTTTTTAATAGGAAAATAACCACACAGTTCATTCCAAAAAAAAAGTTTTCAGTTTTTAATAGAAACAAAGTATCTATTTGACCAGGCACACTGGGCTGAAAGGCAGGACACGGAACTTCTGGTAACAGGAATTCAGCCATATGGCCAAGTTGCATGACTTCAGGGAACCCTGCACATGCTGGCAACACCCCCGGAGTTGCACAGTATGCAGCCTACACAGTTGTATATAGTCACCCCAGCTGAGCCTTCCATTTCCCCATGCCCTAGCATCACACACCTGTTTCTCTATGTTGTAAGATAAGAATTAAATATTAGAATACCCTTCCTCTCTGTGTTATAGGGACTTTGAGGGTGACAGCAACATAGGTGCTTGAGCCTCCCGAAACCCTTCTCAGGCAAGTCCAAGGAAGACTTTTGATAATCTTTTACATCCGCTGATGAAATCACAAGGTCTGATAAGCTATTTCCTTAAAGATTTCACTTGTGGTGAAGCAATAGGTTGGTGAGCATATAAAAAATAATCTGTGCCATGCATGGTGGCTCATGCCACTAATCCCAGCACTTTGGGAGGATAAGGCAGGAGGATTGCTTGAGCCCAGGAGTTTGAGACCAACCTGGGCAACATAGCAAGACCTCACCTCTACGAAAATACAGGTGTGCATGGTGGTGCACACCTGTAGACCCAGCTACTTGAGAGGCCAAGGCAGAAGGATTGCCTGAGCCTAGGAGGTCGAGGCTGCGGTGACCTGTGATTGTACCACAGCACTCCAGCCTGGGCAACAGAGTGAGACCTCCAACTCAAAAAGAAAAAAAAAAAAATCTGCTTTCTCACCTGTAGCAGCAGCCCACAGTGGAAGACATGAGGAAATGCCCATTATGGGGTGTTTAAATGTTAGATGCTATCCTGGGGAAAGAGGCACCTCCTCACACTGTCCAGACCCAACATTATTATCTTTACAACTTGTAATTTACATTGTTGGGGATGGGTGTGAGACTTGGAGGAAGGACAATAACTAGCATTTACACTTGGGAGGCTGTAATGAAACTAAGCTGCTGTTTATAAAACTGCAGTTGTTGTAAACTGCTACTTGTAATCAACAGCTTGGAGCTATAGGATTCAAGAAAAAAAACAGCCAGGAGAAAGAAACTGGAGGCAAAAGACAAAGAAAACATCACTGTTATGTTTACAGCAACACATACTAACCTGCGACAACCCGCTGCTGAGACACCTGACAGTCTCTGAGAAACATCACCCAATATGTCCTTCTGGATTCCTACTTCCAGTCAGATCCACTGGCTGCTCCGTCAAAAGTGATGACCCTTTTGGCCCAGGAGCCAGTCTTGGATCAAGTGCTGGGAGAACCCACAGAAGGAGAGAAATACAGCGGAGTGGCGAGAGAACCTGCATAGCCTGAAGGCCTGGTCCCAGCTCCTGGGATCAGCAATCACAGCATCTGATGGCCCACGCCTTCTCACACCACCCCAGAATAAGCAGTGAGTGGGGCTAGCAATTTAAATGCCCCACCTCTCAGCTAGTCTGAGTTTCACACATGTGCCACTATTCATTGTGTGGTGGGGATCGTCAAATGTGGGTGAAGGCAGGGGTGGGAGGCACGTGGTGCTGCTGGTGACTCAGGATGCATGGATGGGCTTCCTCAGAGTTCAACACAGAACCACCATGTGACCCAGCAATTCCACTCCCAGGTATATACATCAAAGAACTGAAAACAGAGACTCAATTTCCAACAGATGGAAACCACCCAGTATCCATCAGTAAGTGAATAGAGAAACAAATTGTGGTCTATACAAACAATGGAATATTATTCAGCCACAAAAAGGTATGAAGCACTGACATATGCTACAACATGGATGAACCTTGAAAGCATGATGCTAGATGAAAGAAGTCAGACACAAAAGGCTATATACTGTATGATTCCATGTATATGAAATGTCCAGAATAGACAAATCCATAAAGAGAGAGCAGATGGGTGGCTGCCAGGAGCTGGGGGAGAGAAGATAGAGAGTGACTACTGACAAGAATGGGACTTCTTTCTGGGGTGAGGAAAATATTTTAGCTCTAAATAGAGGTGGTGGTGCACAACGTGAATATACTAAACTTTAAAACTTAATTTTAGGCTGGGTGCAGTGGCTCATGCCTGTAATTCCAGCACTTTAGGAGGCCTATTGCAGACCAGCCTAAGGCATAGCAAGACTTCACCTCTACAAAAATAAAATTAGCCGGACACGCTAGCCTATTTCTACAGCCCCAGTTACTCAGGAGGGTGAACCAGGAGGATTGCCTAAGCCTGGAAGGTCGAGGTTGCAGTGAGCTGTGATTGTACCACTGTACTTCAGGCTGGGTGACAGAGTGAGACCTTGACTCAAACAAAATAAAACAAAACAATTTATGTGAATTTCACCTCAAATTAAAAAAAAATTGTTTCGGGGGGCTCCATTCACCAGCCCCCTGGTCACTTGCTAACCAGATAATCCTTGGGAAGATCCCATTTTTATCTATAAAATTGAGACAAAATATATTATTTAGCCTCCTAAAAATAAATGCTGTAAGAGATGTGAAAGTTCTCCAGGAAAGGCCAAGAGGTATGCAGATGATTATATATGTGGCTCAAATGAGGATGGGGACACAAAACTCAGGCAGCAGCAGGTGCACTCAACCTGTTTTTGTCAAAGGAAGAAAAAGGCATCTCAGCTGCAAAGCCAACACACAGAACCAGAAGCCAGCAGAGGAGAAACCAGGAGGTGGCAATGGCTCTGGGTTTCCATTCAGCATATCTTCCGTCTCGAGTTTTAAAAGAGCAAGCAGTTCAAGTCACTTATTCAGAGTGCCAATGGGGAGACTCAGCACTGGCCAGAGAAAGTTCTTAGCGGCTTGGCTAATTGCAGCCGATGAATGGGACAGGTGGGGAGGAATACAGAAGAAGACGAAATGAATTGCTCCCCAAGGTTTTTAAGATTAATTTTTAAAGTTTGTCCCATATTTACACAAAAGAAAAAGACAGTGTAGAAATACAGGTGGCCAAATGGCAATATCTGAGTTTTTTCCCAATTTTTAGGTGGTGCCAGGCACCTAAGCCCAGAAGGACAGGAAGGACAAAGGCCAGCACAGTGGAGGCACTAGTGTCCCTGTCTGTCCTCCAAGGACTCAGCTGTGTGTTATGAGGCAGCTGGCCAGGCCTGAGAGACCCAGTTGATCCCTAGGCCTCACTTCAGGGACAGAAAACTCACGGTGACCAGGCCTAGACACTCATGGTCCAAGCAAAGCAGGCACAACCTACATAGGCTGGAAACACAGAACAGCTAGCAGGGCCTGCACATGGTGCCATCTATACCCCTCAGAGTGCTGCCCGGCCAGCCTAGGCTCCCCGGGTTGGATGCAAATAGGGCCAGTGAGAACAGACCACCACACTCACTCCTGTCACCATCTGAGGAAAAAAACCTATGGTGCAGCTGGGCACTTCAAGGAGGGATCGAAGGGGCCAAACTGTGCAGAGCTGTGTAGACCTGGATTCCTGATCCAGGATTCAAGACTAGGGCCCAGCCCCATTTTATTTCCCTTCAACATATTTTCTGCCCTCCATG